AGAGAGATAGAGAGAGAGAGAGAGAGAGAGAGAGAGAGAGAGAGAGAGAGAGAGAGAGAGAGAGAGAGAGAGATTTGCAAACATTTTGAGATTCCGATATTAGATGTACAAGTGTACTGAAAATTGTTCTGCAGGTTCCTAAAAGGCTTGGGATATTCCAGGAAATCGTCTGTGGAAATTCCACACGCACCAAAGACATCATCAGCCGTGTTGTGGAGAGAAGGTAAGTACAGCTGGTTTCGTTCATTCTACAGTGGTAGACTAGATAGGTAAACGGGTGGTTTTGTTAACTGTGTGTGTTCGTATGAGTTTTACGACACTCGCAACACAATACAGTCATATTAATGATTTGATGTGTTAAAAGATTGTACCAAGCACAAAAAGAAGGAAGAGAGGTAAGGACGATACATATTAGATAGGACAAGAGGAGAAAACCACACCAGAGCATATGCCAACCACCAACCCATTAATAACTCGACAATGGTGGACTAGATCAGTTACAACACTTGCAACCAATATCATAATATAAATGTCGAAGATTAGAGGTGTTACAAGAAAGTGACAAACACAAAAAAGGAAGAAAGAAAGGGCGATAGATGTTTGATGGAAAAGAAGGAGCAAACCACACCAGAGCTCCCGCCAACCATCCACACATGAATCATATAGTGGTGAACTTGATTGGTTACGGCACTTACAACCAATGTCATATCGTAAGTGCCGAAGATTAGAGGTATTACAAGAGAATGTTAACAAACACAAAAAGGAGAAGGAGAGATAAGGACGATACATGTTTGATAGAAAAGAAGGAGCAAACCACACCAGAGCACCCACCAACCACATTAACTACACAGATGTGGAATAAATCGGTAGACAGCTGGTCTGGTTAACTCTACAGTGGTGGACAAGACAGGTAGACATTACTAGTCTCTTTAACAGCCTAACACATTGCCCCCCCCCCCAAGCCCCGTCATCTACCTCTTTATGTCTGTGTTTCAGAGAGGACTATGAGAGACGGAACAAGAAGAAACAGGCAGCAGAGGAGAAAGCCAACCGAGACAGATTTTGTCCTGATACAGATGTCAGATACTAATACCCTGATACTGATCCTGATACTGATGACAGAATTTGAGTGATACCCAGATACTGATGACAGATGCTGAGGGATACCCAGATACTGATTACAGATACAGAGATACCCAGATATTGATGACGGTGACAGAGACAGCTGCAGATGACAGCGACAGTATGACAGATACAGATGGCAAAGACAGACACCCTGATACAGATGACAGACGGACGGCAGGGATCCTGATACTGACGACAGATACTGAGTGACACCCAGATACTGATGAGAGATACTGAGAGATACCCAGATACTGGTGACAGATCCAGAGATACCCAGATACTGGTTACAGAGACAGATGACAGAGACAGAGACAGATGACAGAGACAGATGACAGACACAGATGACAGAGACAGATACCCTGATATAGATGACAGACGGATGGCAGAGAGAGATACCCTGATACTGATTACAGAGACAGATGACAGAGACAGAGACAGATGACAGAAACGAATGACAAAGATAGATACCCTGATATTGATTACAGAGACAGATGCCCTGATATAGATGACCGAGTTGTCTGCATACTTTACTCATGTCGATTTATATATACCTCATCTACATAATTTACTTTGACGGATACAACAAGCCGAGGGAACTGCAATGAATGTCGCTCATGGGTCATTCAGTCTTGTGCAAATGGAATAAAAATCTTTGGAAGATAATTCCAAGCGTTTTGTTTGTCATTGTAAACAAGTAAGTGTGTGTGTGTGTGTGTGTGTGTGTGTGTGTGTGTGTGTGTGTGTGTGTATGTGTGTCCGTCAGTTTGTGTGTGTGTGTGTGTGTGTGTATGTTTATGTATTTGTGTGAGTGTGTGCATTTGTATGTGTGTGTGCATTTGTGTGTGTTTATGTATTTGTGTTT